TCCAGCATCTGCAGTTCCTACTATCTCAGAGAGTGATTGCAGGTGGGATTAAACAACAAAGGTTCTACACACAACCAACCAAGAGAAGGATTCCAAACCGAGGTGTAAAAAATGCAAACCTGCAACAACACGAAGCCAATACTCAGCAGAGTGTCAGTGAAGAGTCTCCGGGTCTAGGCCTGAAACGTCAGCTTTCCTGCTCCTCTGATGCTGCTTGGCCTGCTGTGAACATCCAGCTCTACACCTTGTTATCTCAGTCTCCTGCTCTTACCTGTGATACCTGGTGGACCTGGGAGTCCTGGGTGTCCACGACCTTTCTCACCTCGATCTCCCTTCTCTCCTTGTTTTCCTGGATTTAAAAAAAAATGCACAGATTGGGTGACATTGCAGAACCAGTTGCTGAACTTCAAAATCAGTCAATGCACAATCATTGAACTTAATTCATTATATTAATAAGTGAAGGATTCTACTTGACCAATATATTGTTTTGGTCATATTGTCCTAAAATAATGAATTGGGTGGGAGTCAGTTTAGCTCAGTTAGCTGGACGGTTGGTTTGTGGAGCTGAGGTTATCATGAAGGACTCTCCTTCTCAACCTCTCCCTCGCCTGAGGCATGGTGGCTCTCTCTAATGAGAGAGCAGCCTTATGGTCCGGTAAGACTATGGCACCTTGACTTAAATGATTTGGGTTTCTGAGAAACTTCCATCATATCAGGCAACTCAAGCTGTGATCCCATAATTGGCCCAGTTGTAAACTGCTCCTCGTCAGAATATCCCCATCCTTAACATGCCTTTGTCACAATTAGATAAAAAATCAAATGCCCTCCACTGTACCCTAATATCTCTCAGTCACAGCCTAAGAAGACTTCCCTCCCACCATTGCAACCGTCATAATTTCATTTACCACTTTAGTCATTCTCTCACCAAGTTTACCCATTCAAGACTGCATAGACTCAGACTCATGAAGTAGGCGCTCTCTAGAAGCAGAATCCAGCCACTCTAAACTCACTTCAGGGCCTTCACAGCTCACAGTTGAGAGATCTTCATCCTGTCAGTGCGAACGGGAGCTGAACTGTGCAGATCTGTAACTACTGGCCTATGTTAATACAGTAAATAGATTTTCAGGTGGTTAGCACTGATCAACTGGGTAGGCATAAAGGAGGAAGAGGGCCAGAGTATGGAAAAAGCTGTAAGACTGGCTTGTTAATAAACTCTATCCACAAAGAAAGGTTTCTGTCTCACCAACTGGTATGGACCCAGATTGACTAACAGAAAGTGAAGATTGGAAACCAAGAGCTCTTTTCAGTCAGAAGATTGTAAGTGGAATTACTTTTGAGAAGAATGGCTGAATTGAAGTGCAAAGTATCTGGATATGACATTCTATTCATGTAGCGTGAAGTTGAACATTACGATGAATTTTAAAATGAAGTGGATAATGGGCAAGGGCTAGGTCTTTACCTTGGCACTGTCACTTCCTACCGAAAGATCAGAGGTAAAGTATTCTCAACACGTGGATATTGAGAAAGATTTGGAAACTCTATCAAACTTTATAAAAAGGTGACCTATTAGATAGAGACATGGACAGACTTTGATAAATTTAGAAAGCTGCAGGATAGATATTCTATGGAAGTCTGATTGACTAGGCTGACACCGAGGATGGCAGGAATGTCCTATGAGCAGACACTGGTTTAACTGAGCCTGTATTCACTAAAGTTGAGAAGAATGAGAGGGGATCTGATCGAAACATATAAAAATTCTAGCAGGTTGGACAGATTAGATTCGGGAAGGAGAACGTTTTCCCTAATTGGTGAATCTAGAACCAGGGGATATAATTTCAGGAAGCAGGGTAGACGATTTAGGACTGAGATGAAGAGAAGTTGTCTACCACGGATGGCTATGGAGGCCAAGTACTGAATATATTCAAGCAAGAGACAGACACATTTTTAGATTTAAAGGCATCAAAGGGTTTGTGGAGAAAGCAGAAATGTAGCATTGAGACAGAGGATCAGCCCATGATCATTCTGAATGGTGCAACAGGCCCGAAGGGCTGAATGGCCAACTCCTGCTCCTGATTTCTATGCTTCTATAAAATGGAATTTAACAGACCACTCACATGTTTGCAAATAGTCTATTTGGAGATTCCCCATTCAGTTCTTGCCTTTAAACTGTTGGATTCTGCTAAGGTGTTAGACATGGATGGCCTCCTAGTATTAATTGGAGTTAGATATTCAATAAGAAGGCATTTTTGGAACAAAAGTCTGAAGCCTTAAAATGAACTTGGAAAATTTCATTCCCAGGGGGCATTCATGGGTCAAATGTGGCATTCAGCAGTGACACAAAGAATGGAGAATTCTCTGGTACTGGCAATGCAGGACTACCCAGATACAGGCTGAAGGTGTCAACGGAGGAGAAGAATTAGAACGAAAAGGGATGAAGATGTCTGGAAATAAAGAATGGGGAAATATAATAGAAAAAATGAACCACAGGAATGTCTATAGTATACTCAACAGGCCTTTGAGATGCAGCTTGAGATAGCATTATACAATGAATTGTCCTAAATGGAAAAGTACTTTTTGAAAGGTTTTTGAAATTATGCACAATTTGGAAGGTTTGGGAGGAGAAGATGGTGACACTGTTCAGGAACAGGGAATTGTACTAGCTACAAAAAGCTTCAGCCCAACAATGAATGTTTTAGTCATAGACTCATTCAATTGCGCTGTGTTGGACAATTGATCCACCCCATTGGTGTATAGTGCCTAGTTACAGAGATAATGAAGACCCTAGTAAAGTGAAGAAATTTGAGCGTTCTACCTGCTTTGGGTTTGGGATAACAACATGCCGAAATCACGAGAAAGGGTGGTGGTTCAGTGTGAAATAGCTGGGGCAAAACATTTTACCAGTACAGACAGAGCGTCAAATACCTTTATTGTCCATCAGGCTGACTGTGAAAAAGGGTCAGATGAAACTTGACATGGAACAATTGTTTTTGGGAAGTCACTTGACACAATCTGGACGTTATTGTATTCTTTTAACAAGGCCTAATTTCTCTAATCAAAGTATTAAAAAGGTGTGAATGGGATCAGGCATAAACGGGTTCAGAAGACAGAAGTTTAAAGGTAAAGAGGCTAATTTCAGAACCAGTGGTCACAAGCTAAGGAAATGGGGTAGGCCATTTAGGCTGAAGAGGAGAAATCTTTTCACCCAGAAAGTGGTGAGTCTGTGGAATTCTCTGCCATGGAATGCAGTTGAGGTCAAAATACTGAATGGTTTCAAGAAGAAGTTAGATATAGTTAGTGTCATAGAGCCTTCGGCCGGCCCACCACGTCAATGCCGACCAACAAACACCAATCTACACTAATCCCATTTACCT